TGTTAAGGGTACAGCAAAGAGGTCAGTGTCATTGGTGCGAAATATGGGAAGAGAAGCGCAGCAGGAGATGAGGTTGTAGAGACAGCCAGGTTACGATCACACAGGGCCTTGGAGACTGGAGTAAGGACACAGGATTTTACTCTGAGCCTTAAGGGGAAACAACGGGAAGGTTTTAAGCTCAGGAGTGGCAAAAATCAGACCTGCATTGTAAATGGTTCACTCTGGCAATGACCTCTAATGAATTATTTGATGCCAAGGTGTCCTGAATTCAATCATTCCAAAAGTAGGAGAGGGACGTTTAAGCATATGAAAATGGAAACAATACAGCTCGGCAGGCTGCAATTTCGGACTGCGTAGAGAGGAGTGAGCCTGGAGTCCAACAACAGAGTCACTGCATTCAAAACAGCACACCAGTTACTGCAGGAGATCCCACATTCCATTTGCGTTTGCTGGATCTAATATGTGAAGTGTTGCGTAGAAATGTTTAAGAAAGATTTGACAGTGGTCTGGGAATGTTGGGGGGAGAGGGGAAGAGCGAGGAATTATGACTCCAGAAGGGAATGCTGGGGACACCAACACAATTAGATTCCAGAGGAACAGTCCATCAGAAGGACGCTGGTGGGCACAGGGCTGCCCCATCACTGTGACTGGTTCCTAGGGAAGATCTGTCTGAGTGCCACACACAAATGTCCAAGAAACACCGAGAGGGATGAGGCGTGTCATTCACCTTTCAACTTTCAACTTGGAGATGTCCTGTGTAGCAATATAAACTTGAACAGCAGATGGTCAAACGCTAAGCTTACCTAACTGCAAAACTAAGGAGAAAGGTAAAGGAAAAAATAAAGGGAAGGGGAAAAAGGGGGGTGTGCTTGAGGTGGGGACATGCGAATGGGAAGAAAAACCATTTAATGAGTCAAATTTCATCATATTTGTGGAATTCTGAGTGTCTTTCAGGAAAACTACATACTTTTTAGAAAAGCCGTATTTTTCAAGAGCCAGTCTTGGTCTTGGCAAGGAAATGGTTAGAACTGAAGATATGGAGTAGTGTAGAAGAATTCAGAAAGAAACCAAATCTCTGGAAAAAGTGAGGCTTTTTTTTGATTCATGGTAAAGGAACATAAATTACTCTCCAACCCACAATCTCCGCCTACCCCCCAACTTCCCAGAGTCCTGCGCAGCACATAGAAAGTGGAAAGTGGCCAAAACAAACAGTGTGGGCTGAAGCTCTGTGGATGAAGGGTGGGATGAGGTTCGGGTGGAACTGGCAGGCAACCGAATGGAATCACTTTAAAGCAATGCCACAAAATGGAGTCTAAATAATCACTGAGGACTTGCAAAAATCGCATAAAATTGGATATGCTTAGCAAAACCATAGAACAGATTCCTTACTCCAAAAAGACAAAAAACAAACAAAACCCTAAAAGGACAGGATAAAACTGAGACAGAGGAAAACATACCTGCTCTCTTATCTGTCTTTAATTAAACCATAAAATACCGTCCCTCTCCTCTTCTCCCAGCCACCCTGGAAGAGAATAGCTAACTGGCAGCAGCTCAGGTGAAAGACTTCAGCCTTCCAGCTACAAAGGGGAGATAGCAGACAATGGAACCGGTGATTCATTACAAAAGAATACACTCAAGAGAGGCCTGCAGCCACATGGGCGCACTGCACTATTTAAAGGAACAGCCACCTCCTTTCCAACCTCCCTTATTCTTAACACCTTCCCTCCTCTTGGTCTTGATGGAAAACAGATTTTGAAGAAAATGCCAGCAAAGCACTGAGCTGTCCAAGAAAGGGAGGGCTTTGTGTTCCACAGAAACTGGCAGCCCTACACATCCAACTGTAAAATCTTTTCCTCTCTGCTTAGCATATTCTCCCTTTCAGCAACAAATAGTATAACTGAGTCTGAGTCTGGCTACACATTTAAAAAAATTAATTGGAGGTGGAGTCATTTGCGATTTTGTTTTTCTAATCTCACACATATTACAAAAATGATTTTTCCTCTTTTCCTTCCTTTAATTCCATATTGTTATTTTGCATAGATATAAGAAGACACAATAATTTGGTTCACATGTTCAGAAATAAAGAGTTATCTCAGTGAAATACTCCTACAACATATACATGAACGAGGAAAACCTAGTTATAAAAAAATATGGCACTACCATGTCTGCCATATTAAAATTTTGTGATTAAATTCCTATTTGCTTAAAAAAAAATCCTCACCTGAGGATATGTTTTTATTGATTTTGAGAGAGAGAAGGAGAGAAAGAGAGAGAGAGATGTGAGAGAGAAACATCCATCAGTTGCTGACTGAGTATTGAACTTGCAACCGTTTTTAGTGTTTAGGACGAAGCTCCAACCAACTGAACCACCCAGTCAGGGCTCTATTTGTTTTTTTAAGGCAAAGCACTGATTACTTATTGTAAATCACAAAGTAGTTTGTTAATTAAACAAAAAAGAGGCCTTATAAAACTAGAGCATGCATAATAATAAAGCGTACATATATTGCAAGTATTGATATAGATCTAAATTGTATGATGAAAATGTCATCCACTGAGAGCTCTTTTCCCTATTCCATTGGGTGAGTGATGGAAACTAAGGGATATAGAAATGTTAAGATCAGAGAAGCAGAACTTGGGTGACAAATGGTGAAATCCCATCTAAATAATTTTCCTAATATACTAATCAAGATATTAAATACAATAATAAACCATCTAACTTTGAAAACCAAACCCTAACAATACAGACAGTTTTTATTTAGACACTCATATGACAGATCATTATCATATATTTAGATTAGATGTCTGGCTTGACAAACAAAACACCAACAAATTCCCCTCAAAACAAAAAAACACCTCTTCCCAAAAAACACACCCACAGGACAGGTAAACATTTGGCCCATCTGGTTATGTCCTTTGATTCCCCCCACCCTAGATTACCAACAACTATGCAATTAACATAGAAAGTGTACACCAAAACAAGTATGATGCGATAGTGAAAACTGACAAATTTGACATTCTATACTTTCCCATTGTATAAATTTAGGAGGGGCAAGGACAAGTTGTTTCCTTCAGCATTCAGCACATCCTGAGAAAAATCATGATGGTTTTAGCTTATCTATTATACTTCCTCAACATCCCTCTTTCCTGTTTCTATATCTCTTCTGCTTCATTCTTAAAATTGTAGTTTCCTTAAATACCAATAGTAAGAACACAATATTAAGTGTGCATGTGCCCGTGCATTCTAGCCTGTGCTTACACATGCTTAACCAGCTCCTTAGAAACTAAGGGGGCATGTTCCAAGATGTATAAAAAGTCCTAGTTTCAATAACTCTTTCACTGATTTAAAAATATATATAATGAAAAGTCAAGTAGTTGAAAAGCCTTAGGAACAGCTGAGAAAGAACAGAGCCCATACCCTCTAATATTGCCAGTTAATGAAAATTGAATGAGGGCTCCAAGGTTAACAAGTATCATCTCCCAAGCAACAAAGAGAATGCAGAAATAGGTTTCCTCTCTATGGAAATTTTTTAAAAAGTAAAGTAATATTTCGAAAGAGTTAGGTAGACTGACCATAAAGGGATACGAGATAGAAGAGAAAATATTTTAATGGTCTCCACTTTCTAAAGGAGGGAGAGATTTCTTGATAACCTCCAAACTCAGATTTAGTGAAGAATTACTTTGGAAAAATATTCTTTGCAAGTTCCCTTTCCTCTAGGTCTCGTTGAGAAAATCTACCTAATGCTGTCCCTCCTTCCCAACAGGACTGCGGGGCATTATATAACATTTAACAGAGCGGGGCTCCCAGCTCCTAAACTGATGCCTATGTCCCCAAGGCTAGCTGACTCTCTCGCCCTCCGGTGGTGACTTGGAGAGGCAGAGAAGAGAGAGTACAAAAAAAAGGGGGGCAACCTCCTTAGAAGGAAAGCACTGTCCAGTGATGAAATTTCCCT